GGCATCCTCAAAGCCCAGGTGAGCACAGAGCCTGGTTGCTGCTTTGCAGCACCCTCTGAGTTCCAAGACAAACATCTGTTGGAGGTTAGTAAGCTCCTGGCCTTTATGAGGAGGGCTGGTGTGCTGGAACACTCTGGAAGGCTTATCAATGCAGGCTGTGAGTGGTCCTTGGGAACAAGAAGGCTTGTTCATCCACAGCCCCAGTTCTAGGCTGCCAAGGAAAGCTAACCAAGTCACTTCTGCTTTTAGGAGGACATATGTCTACAAGACATCTAGCTTTCTATTTTTGTTCTCTTAGCCTCTCTTCAGGCCACCAGACAGGCATGAATCTGTTTAATTTGAGCCCATGATCCTATGATCCTGTGGTCTATGTAATCTCATACAGAAAGCTGGACTATAAGCTAAAAGACCTGTCCCCATCAGTCCATGAAACTGGCATCTCATTTGTTTTCTTGCAGCAGTTTGGACAGGCAAATCATGTGTTTTCATTTTTATGTCCCTAATTTCTAACAAGGACTCTATAAATGTTTGTTGACACCAGGGTAATGAAAAATGAAGTAATGAAAGTGACTTTTTTGAATATTAAATAACAGAATTCATTTTAGCTCATCATCCCAAACAGCTGATAACCCTAAGGCCATTTTGCTTTAATAGGCATTTTGGCAGTTGTGGAGGGAGGCCTTATAAGTGGCATATTTAGACTTATAATCTTGAGTTTGGCAACTTCATATGGGGCTGAAAGGGTCCATCTCCAAGGTGTAACACAGATTTGAGATTTTGAACTGAAAGGAGATGTCTGTACAGGACCAGAATGATGAATATTCTGAGTGTTGTAGGACTAGGTGACAAGGACCTGGAAGCCTGAGAAGCCAGATGGTCAAGGGTGATGGGAAGGATCTTAGAATTATACTAGATCAATACCATGAGGAATAGTCACCACCAAGGAGGGAATCAGGAAATCAAAATGGGCCAAACCAAGAAAGGGCTATCATAGGCACAGGGAAGATTTCGGGCTTAGATGCAAGGTCTGGAGTTGGCCAGAAATGTTGCAGTGTTCAAAGTCATAGGAACAAGACAGAACTTTGCTCTACCTCTTGCTGCTGTTATGGCTGATGTTCATTTTAGCTCTTTGAAGAGCATAACTTTTTATACCCAGAGGCCTTGGGGTTGAGAAGACAAACTTTGACAAGTAGCAGTTGGCGTGAAAGCAGCCACCTCCTATCTGTCCCTCCCACCCACGAAGCTGCAGCTGGGAAATGTCCAAGGACTCCTTGGTGGGGCAGAACAGGTTACTGTGGGAAGCTACAGAACCAAAGGTCCAGACAGAATTGGATATTTCTAGTGAAATCATAAAGGCTCTCCCTATTTTCTGTAGTTTGAAGTGGGGAGAGCTTTAGACTCACTGTCCAGAGGCTGCATTGTTTTAGTTAGCTCAGTGCACATCAGCATTTAGGGAAGTGCTGGGTCATAGAGGAAGTGGCTCCTGGTCTGGATGCTGCTGCTGAGCCTGGAGACTTGGTCCTGCCCTCGAGGAGCTCAATGGTCCTGGCTAAGGGGAGAATATTCCCTTGGGGATGACTCCCTTTATCCATGCACCCTTCTGGACCATGCTGGTTAGCAGTGTTTGGCACTGGGTGTAGCAGCTGAACCCTTGGGGTTGGGGGAGCCTGGGAAGTGGAAAAAGAGCTTTCCCTGGCCATTATTTCTGCTCCTCCTATCTGACCTGGCTGTCGTAGTTCTGGGATTTTCATCCCTCACTAACAGGCAGCCAGCCTTGCCATGAACTGCACAGCACGGCAGAAGCTCCTGGGCTCAGACAACCTGGGCCTCCCAGCTCCATGGTCAAGTCAATTAACCTAACCACACCTCAGTTTCTTCATCTGTAGACTGGACATGATAATAACAACAATTCATATTCCATGCGACTTTTTTGAATATTAAATAATAGAATTCATTTTAGCTCATCATCCCAAACAGCGGATAACCCTAAGGCCATTTTGCTTTAATAGGCATTTTGGCAGTTGGGGAGGGAGTCCTTATAAGTGGCATGTTTGCTTTCTTTTCTGTTTCTCTATGTCACCATTAGGGGAGCAGAAACAAGAGGCTGAAAGGCTATCTGCAGGGGTGGGGGTGGGGCAGCTGGCCTCCACCTAAGCCTAACCCAGAAGCTGAAAGTTGGCCAGAAATCACGAAGTTTCAAAGCTGAGTAATGAAGTTAAGGAACAACGAATAAAGGCACAGCCTTAGTAAAGGAAAGGAAATCCTGACTCACTGCTGGCTAGAGCAATTTTCAGCTCAGTGAAACCCTGGGAGGAAAACATTTCTGAACAAGGATTTCAGATGCTTTTGTTATTGCCAGAGCAAAAGAGCACAGTGTGCAACAGAGAGGCAGGGGTGTCCCAAGCCTCCAAGGCCATGGAGGGATGTATGAGCTCGCTAGAAATAGAAGATGCTGTTCCCTGTCTTGGACCATGTGACACTTTAGGAGATTATGATAGCATGACTCTGTCCCCGTGCTCAATATGGACCCAGATGCTGTTGGAAATCTCTTGTGATGAACACAGGTAACTTCTTGTGCAACGTGTGGTGTAGGGGACAATGCCATCACCAGGAAAAGCACAGAATGAATTTGTTGAAAGAGTAGTTTAATGGCCTAATAAGCAATCTGAAAGCACAGTCTCTTGTTTGTTCCCCCTGCCTCCCAGATGGCCAGGTGAAAGAGATTAAAATGTTCCTTACTCACCTCCCAGCAGGTATCTTTTATTTTTATTTAAAAAAATTTTTTTGGTACTGGGGATCAAACTGGGGACCTTATAATTTCAAGGCAGGCGGTTGGAACCACTGAGCTAAATTCCCAGCCCCCAGCAGGTATGTTTTAAAGTCAGGGAGCTAGTGAGGAAAGGCTAGAGAAGGAGGCATGGGTAGGGGTTTCCTGTACATGTTGGAGGAGGGCTGCGGCTAAAAGGATCTGGTCTCAGTTCCCACTCGGCCTTCTCCTGGTTCTCAGCCTGGACCCTCGGCCTGCCCTACCTCCATCTTTCCCCTTGGACATGAAGCCTGCCCACCCAGAGCCTCCTAACCAATTGGGGGGCCAACCCTAAGTCCACCCTGCTTGCTATCAGGTGAGTTTAAGCCCAAGGTTTGAAGTTAAGGGGAGACCACTTGGTGACTATCTTTAGCTCATGAAAATTTGAGATTAAAGTAGAGAAGGCAGCATGAATTCTGAAGGGATGGTGAAACCTATTATTTCCTAAACCATAATAAGTTTGCCAGCGTCTCTCCCCCAGTTATCTATAGAAAACAGTTGATTAGGACATTTTTAGGGAGCTATTGAGATAATGCATATGCCTGGCCCTCCTTGGGTTTTTACTTTTGTATATACACCTATACACAAGTATAAGAGGTGTGATTAAAATGCAGTGAAGGTTTAAATTTCAAGTAATTTTCTATAGGAAAATTAATGACACATTGTCATTAATCCCCCACAAAATACTCCTTCTCACTTTGACCCCACTTATCCCATTGTTCTTGACACTTTCTGCAACAGTTCTGGAAGTCCTCTTTAGTAGCACTGCTGTGACTGCTTTGATGTCCTGAATCCAATCAAACTGTTTACCATCATGATGATTTTTGACTCGGGGGAGGCAAAAAGTCGAATGCCAGATCCAGTGAATAAGGTGGACGAGGACACAGCATTGTGTTTTTTGAGCCTGCCTTTCCATTGGGTGGTGCTTGGCAGCAGCAGTCACTGTATTTTTTATTATACTTCATAAAGATGCTCATAAAAGAGAACTTCCAGAACTGCTTCAGAAAATAAGAAGAATGATGGAATAAGTGTGTTTGAAGCAAGGGTGAGTGTTTTGAGGGGGATTAATGACACAGTATCTTTTACTATAGTAAATATTTTTATTTAAAAACATTCACCATATATTCTGATCTCTTCTATATGTATAAGCATACATACAGAAGTGTAAATTGCCTCCTTAAAACTCAGTTACGAAGAACAACATGCATCTCCTTTTTTTCAAGTGAAGAAACTGAAGCTAGATCACTTGCCAGAGGCCACAGAACTCTGTAGTGGCTGGGAGAGATAAACACAGGGAAGTGACATCCTACAGAAGAGCATCATTAGTGTGCCTGAGTTTAAGAGAGTTGTCACAAGGACCCCTTGGTGTGGGATTTCCAACTCTTTAAATTAAGCAAGAAACACTTTTAGGGGACTGTCTCCTAGCTGGGAAAAATATGCATCTCCCAGAACACTTGGATAAAGAATATGTGTGTGTGTGCCTGTGTGTGTGTGCACATGCATGCAAGTGCACATGTGTGTGTATGTACATGTGTAGCTCCTGACATGGATTTCTCATTCTCCCTTTCTGCTCATGGGCTGGAATGGTGGTGTGGAGCACACAGGCATGGGGCAGGGTATGGAATGAGGCTCGGGGGACAGACCTGGATCTGGACCAGCTTTATAAAGTCAGGATAGCCTCATCCCCTTGGTGAGGAATGTGTTTCCCTGCTGTGGTGAAGCCAGAGCAAGAACCAGTGGGTACTATGCCCTCCTTTCTGATTCCTGTCCCAACTGAGGATGGATGAATTTGCACTGCAGAATTCTGGCACCACCTTAGGAAGTGAATCATGAGTTTCCTGCCCGTAGAAGCTGTGCGAATACTTCCTTTGTTTCTTGACTTGAAAACAACTGCTCTTAACCTGTATAATGTATTCATGGGCCCAAGGGATGCTTTTCTCCTAATTTGCAACCATATTCTTCTCATGCAGTACTGGAGACGGTATGCACTGCCTAGAGACCCTCTTGGCATGAGGTCTTAAATATCTCACCAGCTGACTTTGCCTCCCAGGTCCTCACAGAACACTGGGCTGTGCTGCAATTCTTTTTGCCCATTTTTTAAAATAAACAGTTGTGTAGAAAGCATGCTGCTGTTGAGTCTAGTGAAAGGTTGGGATGTGGTAGGGAGATCAACCATTGCACCTCTATTTTGCAGATTGAATCCATTTACTACTTTGTGGTAGGGGAAGTTCCTAAGGAATCCAAGGAACTTCTCCTTGAGAGGGTTTTGGAGATCCCATGTCTGGTCCACACAGTGTCCTTCAACGCCAGAGGAGAAGGCACCATAGCTTTCCTAAAGGACCTGAGTGCCAGGACCCACAGCAGGTAGGCAGAAAATGTGCTTTTGAGTGACAATGGTGGATGGCCTGCGTATACGACATCAACAGTGGGTCTTGGATTTTGTGTGGTCTTCATGCCCAGTCTGCTGTTGTTTTCTTTCCCTCTTTCCAGTAGTCTTTGGTCTCTGTGTATCTTTATCCTATATTAATCATAACTTTTTTCTTCCTGTAATTCTGATTCTTTGACATTTTGAAGCCTGCTGACTCGGGAGAGATTGCCTTGCCTGTGATAGCTAATTTCTAGAGGTGGTGAAGGACAATCTGGGGGTGTACCTTTCATATGCAAACTAACTGAGCCAGAGCTCCACTCTCCTGGCTTTCAAGTTCAGGACAACTATCCTCTATCCTGATCACTCTAGGGCACAGTTCTAAATACCCTAGAGGTCACTGAAATTATTCAAGTCAGCCAATCCTAAACCTGCTACTTTGTCTGCTGGATCCTTCCCAGGGAAACCACAATAGAGCCTCCTACCCACTGTTCCCTTCAATATTGTGCCTTTTGACCAGTCCTATGTGGGCTGGTGTATCAGTTCCTCCTGGGAACTTAGTCTTCTGGGGTTGTATGTCAATCTATTTTCCATCATTATAGCAGTCAATTTACAAAGAGAAAAGGCTTTGTTTTGGCTCACAGTTTTGGAGAGTTCAGTTCATAACCAATTAGACCTATTGCTTTGGGCCTGTGGGCTGTAGCACATGGCAGGAGTCATGGTGGAGCAAAACCACTCACCTCATGGCCAGGGAGCAAAAGAGAAGAGAAAAAGACTGGAATCCCACAATTCCCTTCAAGGGCACACCCTCACTGACCTGAAGACCTCCCATTAGGCCCCACTTCTTAAAGGTTCCACCACCTCCCAATAGTGCTAAGTCGGAGACCAAACACAGGGGCCTTTGGGGGATTTTCCAGGTACAAACCAGAGTGGTCTGCCTTAATGAAATACCACAGACTGAATGGATTAAACATAGAAGTTTATTTCTGAAGCTCAGCAAAGTAGGAAGTTCAAGATCAAGGTGAATTTGATTTCTAGTGAAGGCTTTCTTTCTGGCTTAAAGACAGCTGACTTCTTACTGTGTCCTGACATGATGATAGATAGACAATTAGTTATCTAGAGTCTCTTCTTTTTCTTACAAGGTCACTTATCAAATCAGAGTCTCATTCTTATTATCTCATATAATCTTTATTATCTGATTATAGAACCTATCTCCAAATATGGTCATATGAATTGGGTAGGGAGGGAACACAGCTCAGTTCATAGCAGGAACTGAGAGTGACAAATTGTCTTTTCGTTGGAGTTTGATTGGTTGATTGGTTGGCCTCACTGCACCTAAATAATAATACATTTTAAAACATATGTCCTTTAGAGAGAGAGAGAGAGAGAGAGAGAGAGAGAGAG